GGCACAAGTCCAGATTTCTCTCTTTTTTTTTTTTTTACTGTTAAGAATTTTCTGGTTGTGAAATTGACCTTTTATCTGATCTTTTACTTTTTTTTTATGACATTTGAAAGATTCACATAATGGAACTCAGTGCGAGTTCACACATGTGACATTACACAGATTTTGTTTTGTTGGGATACTGAAAGGACCACAAGTTCCAAAATGGACTCGCATTTCTGAAAGCTCAAGGGTTTGCTCAGACAGGCTTGACTTCAGTGACCTCAGTGACCTGATCTCTGTGAAAGACTTAACCTTAATACTGTAACCATTTCTTAGCTCTTTATCAACCAATCCCATGATAATCCTAGGAGGTACCCTGTCAACTTCCCAACAACATGAAAAACTGTGGATTTGCTTAAAGTTACAAGAAAAACCAGCTTGTCCGTTGTGTATTTTAAACTGTTGTGTGAAGTGAGGCATTGTCTCTCTGAGATAAAGGCATGCTCATGCAAGTTCATGCTGTACTAGTACAGGATCTGTTCAAACCATTCCTACTCAGGATACCATGGGGATAAAATGTAAAGTGGGACAACTGATAGTAACTAATGTTAACACACAAGAAAACTTTACATATGGCGATTGTGTACCATTTGTGAAACAAAATGCAAAACGTACACAGTGGAAGTTGTGTCTATAGTTTGTCAGGTTTGTACTCACTGACTCCAGGGGAAGTAAAGAAGACCTTGCTCATTGTATTGAGCGAAAGTGTTAATGGCCCAATCCCAATCCCCACCCTAAGGCTTAATCAGCAGTAGGGCTGAACCCGAATAGCCGACTATTCGTTTGCTGTGTTCCCCCCCCCGGAAGAAATACCCACACGGCACCCCCGAATATTCAGGATATTCATCATTAATTGGGCCGAATGTCCAGAGATCACAAATTGCTATGCGGACCAGCCCTAATCACCAGGCAATGACATTTAAATGGTATGAATAGGAGGAGTGGGACACACTATGTGTGAGTATGTTGCTTGGAAACAAGGCATCATCATTTAAAAAAGACAAAAGAAAGTCACACCAACAGTATGTATATGACTGTAGCCATAGAAAGCCATGAAGATCTTTAAATCCTACGCAGACGTTTGACTGAAAATCAAAGCAACTCTACAAATGTGCAATAAATAACCACAACAGCGAGTAGCCAGATGCTGTCTTAAAGCGGATTTCTTTCCTGCAGCATCCATGGTTAGTTTGTGTACATTTTGTAGGAGGCATGCCAGCCATGCCACCAATTTCACGATGAACTATGGGCAAGTCACACAGCAAATGCTGCAGATATGCCGACTCGCTGAAAGGGTTAATATTGACATAGAAAAGTCCACATCAGAGCCCTTTTGCACTTGATGATTTGACAGTGGGATAGCCCTGAGCCTTCACACTCTTGGCAGGGACACACCTCAAAGTTTGAGTCTATGAACCTAGGGATTGGCACTGGGCCACTCAGCTGCAGTCAGTGTCCTGCAGGCTGTCAATGCACGCTGATGATGAAGGGAGGATGCCACTGAAAAATATGTGTTGTGAAAGCATGACAGAAAACCGCTTTTGCCCAAAATATGAGGACCACCTTTAAATGACCTCACATTCGACACTGAACTTGCTTCAGTCCCCAGAAGCACAACTGCCAAGCATGAAGCAGATTGAAGTAGTAGTTGTTGAGAAGCAAAGATAAATCACAGACACATCCCTTCCTTTTTAGTTTCATGGACTTCCTCGTGAAACTCATTCTCTGGTCTCTTCAGTGTTTTTCCCTGATTATTATTATTTTTTGTCAAGCAGTACATTTACATACAGTATGTACCCTAATCTAATCAAAATAGACTACAGAAAGAGTGTGGAAGGACGCTATGTCACTGTTACATTTAAGGTTGGCAAAGGTATGTGCTGTGGTATGCACTATGCAGTTTGGGTTTTTCAATTTCTTTGTTAATGCATACAATAGCTAACCATTTATTAATATGCCCATACATTTGGATCTCTTTGACAATCCTGCAGATAAGAAGGAAAAAATGCTGAATGCCATTAACACTCATCTGTCTTCTATAGTTCTATTGACTGCCTGGCAGTGTACCACAAAAGATCATCAACAATGGCTAAAGGCTGTTGCCCTAAACTGCTCCCTAAGGCCTTTTTGTCCCCATGCTGCTTTCTAGCCAGAGGTCATCAATTCATCACCTTTACCACCTCCATTACCACCACCTTCTCCTCAGAGGGCCTTTAGTCGCCCTGAAGCAGTTCAGGGAAGTACTGCCAAAGCCATGGTGTCAAATGGCATCCTGAACTGTGGGTGTGAAGACAGTGTTTATGTGTGTACGATAAACCTTCAGTTCATGTTTAGGGTCTGGTTATTACTAATCACTTTCAGTGATGCATCAAGTGGAATCTTTGTGTGTATTACAGCTAACATACACAATTTTGTGTTTGCAGGGCTTTTTAATTACAACTTAATTCAAATAGTTCCTGTAATCTTTTTTTTGTTTGATGGGAGATTCAGATTTGATTACGTTTTGATATATTAAATAATTATTATTTGATTAATTGGCCAATCAGCAAAAAAATAATCTGGCTGTTTAAATGTTAATTGTTTATTTAAATAATTTTAAAGCAAAAATGGCAAACTTTTTGTGGTTAATTTAGCCTCTTTAAAGTGACATTCTCCCACATGTCTTTGTGTTATGTCATAGTTAATCCAATATATTTTGGTTTTGGATAATTGAATGTGCACATCAGGTAATTTAATGATGCCGTCTTGACTTTAGGGAAAGTTATTGAGCATTTTCTCCACTTCCTGTCATTTATGTACCCAAATTATAATTGCTTTTTCAAGAAAATATTAGTATTTAAAAGAATAATCAATGATGAAAGCAATAGTTACTTACATCTGTATGACAAAATATCTTCTGATTCAAAAGTATGGAATTTTAGGGGGGCTACGAGCTAGCTTTAATATTTGCAGTCGTGGTTTTATATCATTTCTATAATAATTCTGTAATAACTACAAGTTTTTTTGCACTGTCCCCAGCAGAATTCAGTAAGACACCCTTTGGTGCCATGCGACGTAGCCCTGGGCGTGTCTTTGTTTGTGGGTGTTGACTTTGTTTTTGTGTGTGAGTAGGCGCTCACACATTTGAGTGTTTTCATTTAATCTTGTGCTGCCAGCTTAGAGCGACGTTTCTCTCTAGAGATTAGAGGATGTTAGAGGCACCGCTGTGGAAATAGTCTCTCTTTCAATCTCTAAACCCACACGCAGGACAAAGTGGCTGTTTGCGATGTTGGTGTGTTTGTTTATGTCAGCCAAGTGATAAAGCACTGCAATAGACCATGGCTAATATGATTTTATAAATACTCAGACCAAGGATTAAATAATGAGCCATATGGTCATCAGCGTTGATAGCTGTATTAAGGCTTTTATAGAGAGTATATAAAGAGAGTGTTTTAATTTCACTTGTCATGAGAAAAACTACTGCGTATTGTATAATTCTATTTAACTCAAACAGATGAGATGTGCCGATAAAAACACTGGAAATCCCTTGCTTAGTATGAGGGGATTATTTTTTTATAATGGCCAGAAGGGTTTTTAAGTGTTTAAAGTTGGCATTTGAAAAATGCTTGGCTTCCACTGATTCTTACATAATCATGTCACAGATGAGCTTAATCAGTGGTAATAAAATTGGTATGTCTGTATCTGATTTCCACAGAGCTTGTTTCAGTCCTTAAGATTAGTCTTACTGACAGTAAAGTAGCCTCCTGCTGTCGAGTCTCAATTTACACAGGTGCGTCAATGTTATGTCAGATCTGCTGGATTTAGATGCTCTGCTCACACCAGATTGCAGCTCCAAATGTCTGTGTATACTAACAAGAGCATGTGCGTGGACATTGTTGGGCACTTTGAGAGTGCATCACAAATTCAGATAGAGATTTTACTCTCATACTGTGATGAAACGCTTGCACAGACAGAAGTAGCTGGTGTGGCACTGCAATATTATAGATGGAGCATGGAAAGGTGGATCAAAGCACGATTAACTTCAGGTCTTCTGCCTCATCCTATGTTTATTGGCTGGCTTAGAGCTTCAAGTCTGTCATTAGCGCAAAGCAAATGAGCCTCGCTAAAGATTCTGTCTCTCCGCCAGACAGAAAGAAGCAATGGCAGCGTAGGATGAAGACAGTTTAATGAGCAGGAGATAATCGAGAGAAATTAGATCTATATGAAGCTCCTTCTGACATTTTAATCCAGTGTAGGCATTTGAGGTGTCCTCCGTGCTACACCACCTAACTTGTCATGTTGATACAGTGGTTCTCTCTTGCTGGTGTAAAAAGCAGCCTAGTTTCAAGTAACAATACCACTGAGCTTTAATTATCAGCTCAACCTGTCAACTTGACAGAGTTTCCCTGTGAAATGTTGTTTGACCCAGTGGCAGCTGTCTAAGGAGGAGACCAGTAGACAGTTTATGTCAGCGTAATGAAAGTACAGCACAGTATTCCTGCAACACCACTTGAATGTATGACTAAAAGAAATGTAAAGTCACTGGAAAACTCTTATCAGGGTTCTCTATTAAACGTTAATGGAGCAAGATGTAACACATGCAGTTGGTGATTGCAAATACTCATTATTACATTATTCTTCAAAGAACCAAGCCACATATGAAGCGAACAGTTCTTGTTGACCTATATGAGGAAATCCTTGCACAAATTGAAAATTAAGACACATATCCTGTCTAGCGGCAGTGTCAATTCTACTACATTTACTTACATACGCTATAATTACTTTGGTACCCTACATTATTAAAATGTGGCTCATGATCCCGAATTGCCTTCTGGCAATTCTTCTTCTGGTAGTTCCCTACATGAGGGAGAGGAAGAGGCTTCAGTTCCTATTTGTGTCCTGTTCAGAAGTAGCCCTCCATCATTTAGGATTTTAATCAGCCAACTAATAATTATGCCCTTCACTTGTTTCTGTGTCTTTAGGTTGTGCGCGACCACCCGGCGTGCAGCACGGGGACCTGCTGAACCAGACCGAATCCAACCGGGGATCTTTTCCTCCTGGTGCCCTGCTAACATATGACTGTGAGCTCGGATACACCGCAGATGGACCAACCACCATCATCTGTACCAGTAATGGAGTCTGGTCCCATCCACCGCCACGCTGCATCAGAAGCAATGGTGGGAAAGGTTCAAAAATACAACACGATTTAGCAAACCCTGAAAACATCTTACTTTGTTTTTTTAAAGACCCCCTGTTGGTGAAAATCATGTTCATATGTTAAAAAGTCTATACTTTGTTTTTTATATGCTAGAGGACACAATATGAGCAAAGTAAGCTCTGTGGCTGAGCATTATCACTTTAAAGCTCTCAAAAACACAGATTCTGACTTTTGGGGCTTTGTACATAGCAAACCCTAGCTTCTGGTTTGAACATGTTAGGCTGAGTTACTCCAATATTTTTGTCAACTATTATGTAGCAAAGAATAGCTTTACAGTTTAGGCAGAGTCATAGGTGAGCTGGTGAGTTCAAGCAGCAGCGAGGGACGGGGTGCATGGACAAAAGGATGGGACTTTATACATTTGTACATTCTAGAGGAAACAACAGTGTATTGTTACAACTAAGCCAATTTAGGATAGGATGAGATTGGTTTCATGAAAGATAAACTTCTATATATGTGACTTAGATACACTGAGTTGAGTTTGTAGGGCTTTATTCTATGACAAGAGACTGACCTAAATACAATTTTAAGTAGTAAATGGGCAGTGAAATTTGGTAAATTGGTTATTCTCAGTTGATTATGCTCATATGCAAGCCTAATTTGTTTGTCTGACTTAAAATGATTAAAGCTTAGTAAAGCTCTTTCAGAAAAGATTACATTTCATTGCTTCATGGTGCTAAAAACACTTTAGTAATGACCTTGACGATGTCACCTTATGGACTTGTGAGGCTGAGCATGTTCACATAACACACATGACTGCACCAGTGATGTGTATTAACCAATATATCACATCTGTGCCATTTATTGTGTGACAGAGGTTGTCCTTGAGCGCTATCAGATAAAACTACAAAATTTCAGCTAAAGACTCAGCATTCGAACCACAGGGGTTAAATCTGCCCACAGGTAGAAATAACACCAAACACATCCTTTGTACACAACAACAACTATAAAATCTCTATTGCTTCTGTTTCCTCCAGTGTGTTCACCCCCTACTGAACCAGAGAATGGGGGCTACCGCTGTCACCCATCTCCCTGCCACCGTCTCACCCAGAAGACAGTAATCGAGTATTTCTGTGATGAGGGTTATGCACTGAAGGGAGACTACAAGTTCCTCACCTGCCAAAACGGCGAGTGGGACGGTCCTATGCAGATCAGCTGCCGACTCACACAAGGTTTGTCATCTACCCTCGATGCATTATGACTTTGCGAGCAGATACAACTTCATGCATGAAATGTAGAATTGGTGAACCACACTCTCACTCCCTCTCTGTCTTCTGTGTCCCTCAGACAAGGAGCCAAGCTCTCCGCTGGGTATACCAGCTCTGTCTATTGTGGCATCTACAGCTAGTTCTGTGGCACTCATCCTGCTTTTAGTGGTGTTGTTTGTCCTTGTACAGCCAAAACTCAAGTCCTTCCATCACAACAGGTAAGATATACACACATTACTCTAGTCTCACATTATATGGTAAATCATCTGCATTCAAATTCTAACTCCAGACCATGAAGTTTATTTAAATCATCAAAATAATGGCTAAAAACGTGGTGTTACTATCACAAGTATGACTAGTGCTGACACAATTGGTAGCTTCTGCCTATGCCAAGAGTTATTAGAGTTAATGTTGAAGACGTCTACTTATTCCATCTTTACACAATTATGTACTTACTGCAATAAGTTTGAGTTGCATTTACATACAGCAAATTGCTGTTGCATGGCCATTTTAGATATGTGTTTAAAATTGAAGAGTGTATTTTTGGAGCCAGATAACAAAACTGGAGTCCAGCTTGCAGAACATCTCTGATCCTGTTACTGCTTGTCTGCTTGCCCAAATGGACTTCATTGTAAAGTTGTTCTTATGGGATTTCCCCCTTCCTCAGACCACATCAATAAATAGGTCAATGACGTATAATTTTCTGACAACACATTTTCCTTTTATTTTGTCATGAAGAGAATTTTTTATTTGCAGGCAGCTACCTGATCCAGACCCTTCATTGTCCATGCTACTCTGTGTTTGTTTTGTTTTCTTTCATGCAGAAACTCTTTGCTTCTGACTATGTCACAATACAACACAAATAATTTAGCCATGGACACACCTATTCTTCAGAGGTTTTAGTCGACTGCAGTTATGTAAAGTTGTTCATGTATGACCTGTTTGGCAAGTTGGCATTTCTTGAATACCTGAGAATCAAAAGTAATTGTATGAAAACTAATTCATGTCATCCAGTCACTACCAGCCACTCTGATGGCTCTGAGCAAAAAAACAAGGCCAGGATGATTCAACCTAACGCCCATTGGCACTCTTGTTGATTGTAGTGGGCCAGCACCCTAGCGCAACCTGCTATAAAAGGATTGTACAGTCAACACTAATCACCTCCACTTAAAGGTTTTGCAGCAGCACGCAACACACGACTTTCGAACTAAATCTAAAGCTGGTTTGTTTGTCTCTCCGTTCATCAGGAGGGAGCAAGGAGTGTCAGGCCAGTCCAGCTCCATCATGGTGGAGGGTGTCCAGGTGACACTGCCCTCGTATGAAGAGGCTGTATATGGAAGCAGTGGACCCTGTGGTGCTTCTGGTCCTCCTCTTTCTCCACCACCTCCTCCAGCTCCTCCAGAGTCTCGAGTCCCAATCGTGCTTTCTGAGGGGCTTCCTCAGGGGGCCACAGGAGGCCAAGGCTCCAGCAGAACCCGCCACCACAGAGACTTAGACTTCTGTCTCCCATCCACCTCCTCATCCTTCTCCTCCCGCCATCATGCAGAGACGGTGCTGGTTCATCAGGCCCCCTCTTCCTCTTCCTCCTCTTCTTCATCATCATGGGCAAGAGAGCACCCTGGGGGTGCATGCGCAGGCCCTCTCCCTCTCCGTAGAGACTCTGAGAGCAGCGACCAGCACAGTCTGCTTTCTGTCACCTCTACAGATGAGTTTTCTGATGGTAAGAGGAGACAGTCTCTATTGATCCATGAACTTGCCTTATTACAAGACTAAAGAACTGACTTATGGTAGCCTCCCTAGTACATATCTTTAAATTATATTTATTTGACATATAAGATCAGTGTATATAGAATGTAATGAATTGCGTGACTTGTGGGTTATGAGCTGCACCAAGAATGAAGCCATTGCACCTATCTAATATGACTCTTCTGTTCTCCTGCAGATATTCCTCTGTTGAAGGAAGCATGAAACCTGCTGACCTGCTATCAGCATCAGCAGCATCGCCCCTCTGTGTCTATCTCTCGCTGCTGTCCAGAACTGACTGTGGCTGTCAACCTATTTCCCCCGACTATCCCCCAGCAGCCAGCGGAGAAAAGACTAGAACTATGCCCATTTCCCATTGCAACTTCCTCTGCCATTGCTACCCATGCAGAGCAAAGCCAACAACCAATACAGCACCATAAGCAATGATGGAGCACCACAGGACCTAGCTACTGGATTAAACTGAAGACAAGGCAGACAAGGTGGTGCCAGCTCAACATAAATCCTGTAGATCCTGTGTATATGAGTAAAATGTACTGAGTCAAGGTTGTGTACTATAGGCTATGTATTACCATACACTTGCCTCTACCCAGGTGTAGTCTTCTATATTAACATTGCTCACAGAGGCTTCTTTGGAGAATGCTATAGGAGTCTAGACACACTGACTCTGTCTGGGATCACTGAAAAAGAAAAACAAACAAAAAAAAACACTTGTGAATTTTGCTCCTGATGCTGTGGCGCTCAGAATCAGAATTGTCTTCCCACTGTACTTGAAAAGTTGTGAGTGACACCTGAGTTTTTGCGGCCCTCTGTGAATGCTGCATGTTGTTTTCAGTTATTGCTGTCACAGCACGGTGGCCCACTCTGAATGAAGCATGAAGCCTCCTCTCTTTCTTTCTTTCTTTCTTTNCATGAAGCCTCCTCTCTCTCTCTCACTCTCTCTCTCTCTCTCTCTCTCTCTCTCTCTCTCTCTTTCTTTCTTTCTCTCTCTATCTCTTTCTCTCTCTCTCTCTATCTCTAGCTATCTGTGTATCCGGTTGGCGGTCTAGCGTATGGATTAGCAGGAGTGACAACCACTTCACAAAAGCTAAAAGCAGAGTGCAGCATTTTACGAAGCACCATGTCACGACTATAAAAAGACCTGCTTCTTTCTTTTCTGTTGCCAGCTGCACCCAGTATCTGGAAGATGCTCGTTTTGTTGCATGAGTGGGATTGATTGGTGTTTTGGTTCCAAGACTGTGCTACACATCGTAACTGAATGAGGAAAGGGAGACATAATGTCACATTTTGTCTGACCTGAAGAGAGAGTTGCTGTTGAACATGATTGGGCACATGGCTAAAATTTAAGGTTGTTTAAATTCCGTTTTCTTCCCACTGTATTTATTGTTTGGTGTGAGGCTCAGTTTGCTTTGAATTTCTGAATCTGAGTGCATGTGTGTGCGTGCGTGCGTGTATCTTTGTGTGTGAGCAAGGCAGGAGAGGACGTGTTCTCATATGGTAGGCCTTGATACAGCCATTTCCTGATTTGCCTGTCTTCTGATCAGAGGCTGGCTTCACAATGTCCCAGTCTGTCACCATAGGAAAATAGCCCTCCCAGCTCTAAGAAGGTCACACGAGCAAATCAGCGTCACTTCAGACATCGAATCCATTACACAACATGCGTATTAGTCATCTGCTCTCAAGCTAGAATACTTATTATTTTCTGCTGAATGGCTGTATAACACAAGTCTCCTTAGAGGAACTGGCTTAAGTTCAGCTTCACAATGAGCTGAAAACTCTCCACTTTTGTGCATTATTGACACAAACTGCAACTGGTTGCAGTGAAATACTAAAGGTTTTGTTATAAAGCACCCTACCCCTGTCACATACACTCACTCACCCCTCTAATGCCTAGTGCAAATCTAAGAGAGAATCATGTTATTCTGTTTGAAGTCATCCTCTGTTTTCATTGCCACTTGAAAAGCTTTGCTGGTTGAGCTGGTCACCCTGGAAACAGCATGACTCGGAAGGATCCTGAGAATTACTTTTTAAGCTTTATTGCTTAGGGGAAAAAGAACACACACACACACAACAACCTGTCTAAATTTCTGCTCTCAATTTGATTTGGCATTTGTGGTCTGTCATTGTCAACAGCTACATTATTAACACAAACAACATGTTGCCTTAGACTTGTTTTTTTGTTTTGTTTTGTTTTTGATGTATAATCTTAAGCCTCTGCATTGGTTGCTTGACAATATTGCAACATGTTCTGTTTTCCCAATGGCCTTACTCTATTTTTTTCTATTCTATGCATAAAATGGTCTTTGTGTATTTATCAATGAGTTTACTTTTGTTGTGGACACGACTAAACGAATGTCCATCCCTCTGTCCTCCCCTAGCTTTTCCAGCTACTGTGATGATGATGATGATGATGATGATTATGATGATAATGATGATGAACCTATAAGCACCTATATTTCACTAATCCTTGGCTTCTCTTTTACTACAAGGCATTAAAATACAATGGAATATAAAAAAAAAAGAAATTAATTTCAAAAGCACTGTTGTACGGTGTTGCTTCCCTGAAAGAAAAAAAAAAACAGGTTACAAAGTACACATCTCGATTCTTAGTTTCAATGCTTTCAGCTTCGGTTTTTCCTCTGTACATGGCAGTGGGTGTGGAGATAGTAATTTAATATTTGTATAAAGTTTAATTTAATTTTACAGTGTGTATATAACTTTCTAATTAAAGCTTTCTTTTGAATGTGGAAGATGATGTGTCATTTTTTTCAAGACTGTGTTGTACTGGTACTCCTCCCTGTTACCGTGTAATTCTAGGAAAATATTGATCGTACTGATACACATTTTCATGTCAAGACATTTGCTGTGCCTGCCAACCATGACAATGTGTATCCGCTTGTGTTAGTCAAGAGAATATGAATCATTTTCCTGTGGATTAGATACCCAAGGGCCTGAACTTTGTTTTGCACATGGTTATCCTACTTCAGTTTAAATGATTGCACAATCATACTGCCTGGAACTGTCTAGCAAGTATTCAAGGTAATATTTATAAAGTTACTTGTAGCGTACCAAAGTTGTGGTCACTATCAAACACCTGTGTTAGGTACAACTACGTCTGCCTCATCAATTAAAAACTCAAAAGTCAAACATTTGCTAATCCTAAATAGAAGTGTGTATATTCTAGGTCACAGGTCGTCATAGTTATTTTGTTTTACAACTGCTTCGTAACAGTTTCCTGAATTGAGTCACAGTGTTTGATGACACTGCAAAATGGCCAGCCTGAAAAACCTACCCCCTTAAAAGCTGAATTATTTTTTGAAATAACACTTAAAATCTATTTTGTATACCTGAGTTGTGCAAAAAATTATTGCTTCTGGCTCAATTTTCAGATTACTATTATGTCCTTTGCAGGGCTGGAACGGCCACCCCAGACCAAAGTCACCAGACCCCCCACTACAACCTGTAGTGAAGCCTTGTTAGAGCATGCTTTAAGAACTGGACTTCCATCCAGTAACAAAAAAATCCTGGCAGAATTTTTTTGCGGAACCATTTCTCTACAGCTATTGTTCCCATACAGGTGCATTTTAACAGTGCAACCACACCCCATTCAACCACATACAGCTACATAGTTCTGACCAACCCGGAAATGTTTACAATGATTTTATAGCAACTCAAAGACTTCATAATATTACAATTGAGAGGTGTATAGACAGCATGAAAATGTATCTGTTTTTCTATGTAAATAAGCTGTACATGTTTTTCTTCATCAAAGTGTGTATGATTTAGGCTTGGCTGTGGATTTTGTTGAATCTCTTGTTTAGCCTCTTACCTACTTTGAAGAGACAAGTGGTTCGAACTCAACAATGCAAGACTGACCAAGAACCTACAGCCAAAACAGAAACTAAAAGCTGGATCCACACAAACACAATAACAATGTGTCTTACATGCACTTATCTTATGTCATTAAACTGTAATTGTCACTCACACCAGTCTGTAGAAGTACATGAGAACTCATACATAGTATAATAAGCTTGTTTTTTTATGTAACCAGTTATATGTCATAAAACAAGAAAATGATTATCTGACCCACAGCGATTCACTGGAAAATAAATAAATAAATATAAACTAATACATATATATAAACTGACAGCCACTGGCCCTCTGTTCTAACTACTGTACACATTGCATAGGCAGGCTATATCGTATTTTCTCTTTAGTGTCTGAGCGACACCTAGTGGTCATATTTAGAAACTGCCAAAATCAAAGCTTCGGCGGACTGATGACGTTGCCTTCGGAAACCTTCGGCTTTTCTCGGCTTCTGCAGTGTCGGCCCGTCATACGTCACATGGGCGGGTTTCAAGCCCCCTCCCCGAGACACAGCGCAGGCTCCATTTTGTTCGATTCTGGAGTTTGTGGGTGCTGTCGACAGCCTGCAAGAAAAATTACCACTACAGACCCTCAACGGTATGTACGTAGGGATTTACATTACTTATTGTCTCACTGTGCACGTTTAGCATTTTTAAAATTGGCGCTATCTATGGTGTACAGGTATAATTTGTTTAAATTAGCTTGTAGCACGGCTTAGTTATATTCGCTATCCAGGCCCCATAGCTGACTGGCTCGCTAGCTAGCTACCTACCTACAAACCTACCGTTTACAAAACGGCAGATAGGCCAAGTTACATAAATGATGCATATTTGTAGGCCGTGTTAGCTCAATCTGTGAGAATAATGCCATTGTTTATTTGCAGCTGATTAATCCCCCACCATCACCATGAGTGGATGTCGTATTTTCATCGGCCGGCTGAGCCCCTCGGCCAGAGAGAAGGATGTGGAGAGGTTCTTCAAAGGATACGGCCGCATCCGAGATATTGACCTCAAGAGAGGCTTCGGTTTTGTGGTGAGTCCCGTCAGTGGAAATAGGTCGACACGTTCAATGACACTTTAATATGCTGAGAAGGTTGTGCAGCTGTGCATTCAAATATAGAGCAAAATGTTCTGCCCATGTTCACGTATGCCCACTAAAGACACCAGGTTTGTCTTCAGTCCCTGCCTACCTCGTGTATTTGTGGGAGTGTCAGCAAACAAGAGGTGGGCAGGAACTGAGAAGAAATCTGGTGCAACATCCAGAAAGGATGAACTGAAGTGCTACTAAGAGGGATTTCTGTATACCAAATTCACCAATATAGCTATCAGAATTACATGGTACATCCTAGAACTGCAACGTTTTTTTGTTTTTTTTTAGTTAGCTATTTAAGTAAAGATATTAAAGGTATGATTCTCAGTTTCCGGTGTCTTAAATGTAAATATTTTTGTGGTTTCTTTCCTCCTCGGTGATTGTAAACTGATTGTCTTTGGGTTGTGAACAAAATGAGATGTTGAAGGACATTTTCTCGGCCTTAGAGAAACACTGATCGACATTTTTCCCCATTTTCTGACATTTATAAACCAAATGACTGAGTAATCAAGAAAGTATTGACAAAAATGACCAGCAAATTAATTTACGGTGAAAATACATACATGCATACTGTTTTTTCACCCATTATTGTCTTGTAGATTGAGTAAAAGCAGAATTAAATTTACTCCCCCCCCCTTTTTTTAAGCTTCACGCTCATCAAGGTCACCAAATGAATAATGATGAATGAATGATCTAATTTACCGAAATATTCTGACCCTTTCTACAACAGTCGCTCACAAATTGAGCTCAGTTGCGTTGATAAGCGCGTTGATTGAAATATCTATAAAATGTCCCAGGAGGTATTTGGAAATTAGGAAATATACACTTTTACTAAAATTGGAAATTTGGAATAACACAAATTCCGACACATATCTTTGGTGAAAAGCCCTTCTGTAATTATACACGTGTAAAATATTAAAAAAAGAAAAAGCATTTCAGTATTAAGTGTTGCTATTAGGTTATTATTTGACAATACTCCAGTCAGATCCTGGTGTGGGCAGGACATTGCTCAAGTTGGAAATTAGTAAAATAAAATAACAAGACTGGTATTTGGAGAAAAATTATATGTAAAAGCTTTTGTATGTTTGCTTTGCTGTAGGAGTTTGATGACCCAAGAGATGCTGAAGATGCTGTATATGAGCTCGATGGCAAAGAGCTGTGCAATGAAAGGTATGGGATTTTCAATTGTGATAAATGTGATTCCCAGTAAATCAGATTTGTGAAAACGTCCACTTGTTCTCTGTGATATCAGGGTGACCATTGAGCATGCTCGCGTACGTCTGCGAGGTGGTCGCGGCAGAGGTGGTGGCGGTGGAGGAGGACGTTTCTCTGACCGCTATGGCCGAGGCTCCCAGAACAGTCGGAGGTAAACGTTTCACATCACCATTAGATTGGTAGCAGTTCACTGGTTTTATGATGGCATCTAAGTTTTATTCGACTTCAATTTAACACAGAAGGAACAAATGCAAATTATTAGCTCTACAGGCACATTCTATTAGCAGCTCAGTATTACGTTGATCACAGTCATCGTGGGTGTCTTACCCAATTTACTTATGATGTGTTCAATTCCTTGCAACTTGAGATGTTTTCCTTCTTACCTAAAATGCAACACAGAGTGTTAATTCCATTGTAAAGATCTAGTGCTCCAAGCCAAAGTCTGTATCTCAGCTCCACAGTGTTGTTGCTCATTTGACTGAGGCATTTTTAATTTTTTTGTCAGTCGAAACCCTCCTCCGATGCGAACTGAGAATCGTCTGATTGTGGAAAACTTATCCTCTCGTGTCAGCTGGCAGGTTAGTATTGCCACATGTTTTTTTCTTTACACAATAAGCCTCAAAAAGCTGCAATATCACAAATGTTACGTCCAGCTGTCTACCACCAATATACACATACAGTTGTTGAATTGAAGCTAAAAATTAATCTGAAATCTAGTCATCAGTAACTAGACTTTTCTCATTATTATGTATCAATAATTAGCCCAAATTGTTCTTTAAAAGTCATTGCTCTTTTTATTCTGCATTTCATGCAGTTAATTAATAACTCAACGAGCAGTAACAACAACAAAACACTTAATTTGTTCCTGTTTTCAAATTTTAACCAATTCTTCACCCCTTTATTTGCCAGCCTGACTGTTGTGTCATATGGAAGAGCTCGCTTATGGTGGAGTTAACCCCTTCTGGGTCCTTCTGTCTGGGTTGAGCCTGTGGTGTCAGCCAGTCTGTCCTACTCCTAGTTGATGCCTGCTGGTCATGTGAGCGCTCGCTCCACACTAGAGGCGCTGGCGGCCCCTTCGCTCGCTCGCAACGCCTGATGTGTGGTTGAGAGCGAGAGAGAGGAAACAGAGAGTTGGCAGAGAGAAAGCAGAGGAAAGAGCGAGAGTCGATGGTGATGGTGGTGGCGTATTGATCGATGGTTCGTTAATTTGAGGGGCTTCGATCGATCGATATCCCCCCTCCCTTCCCCCCTCTGGTGTTCCCGCACATCGTGAGCGAGAGAGTGTGAATTCCTCCCAGGTGCCCATGGATATAATCTGCTGTTATCCCGGTTATGGTGGGCTCGGAGAGCCTGCGGCCCACCCCAAAGGTTTTCGCTCTCAGGTAGTAGTTTCCTCTCTTCCACCCTGTTCACTCTCTTTACTGAGGTGGGGTGCCGAGGCAGGGGCGGTCCCGGCGCGGAGCCCTGTGCCCTCCTTGCCAGGGAAAATGGGGCTCTGAGTGCCAAATGCTGCCCAGGCGGTGCCTCTGCAGTTCAGTTCATGCAGATGGTGTTCATCTCTCTGTAGTTGTAACGAGCAGTGTGTCCAAGGATCTCAAAACTGTTGTGAGGACTCTGCTTTAGAAATAGCACCTTTCAGAATTGGTTCATATCTAAATTGAAAAACATTGTGCCTTTTTTCTAAGGTTTTGTCTTTTTTTAAATTGTTTTTTTTTTTTTTTTAATTTTTTAAATAAAACAGCTTGTTAAGGAACTGGCTGGTAGAACAGATTTTGAGGTTCTTGGACTCATTCTCCTTATCTGCAGTAGTCTATGTAGTCCTCTCAGAGAATCTAACCATCTCTCTTTTTGGGTAAATCAGTCCTTTTTATGTCTCAGCCTGTGCTTGTTTTCCGAGCCTCTCCATAAATTGACCGAAGTTTGCGTATGTAGGACCTGAAAGATTTCATGAGACAAGCTGGAGAGGTGACATTCGCAGACGCACATCGTCCCAAGCTCAATGAAGGGTAAGATCACTGTCTCTGTTAGCATTAACTGCTTGATCATTATCTCAGCATGAAGCATGTTTTTTTTCAGTACTGTATTAAGTCTGTATTTGTAACTTGAACAAAATTACCATCCAATTTATGACAAAAAAAAAAAAGAAGCATAACCAAGATTCGATCTGATGTTGTGTTTTTCTAGGGTGGTTGAGTTTGCCTCTTATAGTGATCTGAAAAATGCCCTTGACAAACTGTCTGGAAAGGAAATCAATGGCAGGAAAATCAAGCTCATTGAAGCAGCCAAGAAGAGGTGTGTTGACTGCGGGAAGCTCCATTCACCACACATAACATCAATAACAACATTTTTTCCAAAAAAAGAGCATGCTGTTAAGAATACATTCATTCAATATTACCTGATTCATGCTGCGTTCCAAGTGCATTAGCTGGATGAGAAGTGGCAGGATCATTTTAGAAGACTTAACTGTCATGAATTCAACTTCTGAAGTATGTCAAGGCACAGATGTTTATAACTGTACCATCACAGATTTGGTACAGTTTAAAATGTGCTCTTCAGTTGTAGCTCTGCACTGTTAATGCATAAGCAGAAATATAAAATGGTGTAGATTTTTTATTACGGTGTCATGTAATAAATGTGGAAATTGTTGGACAGATATTTGAAAGAAATCAAACTGCAGATTATTTTTGTTTTTCCTCAGATAATTGATCTCAATAAAATAATTAAGAAGCTCATTTAAATTCCCAAAATCCAAGATGAGTTTTTCAGAAACCTGAAAAACATAAACTCACATTTATGAAGCCACAGCCAGCGAAGTATTTCGTGTTTTTGCTTGAAACATGACCTAAATGGTTGCTTGTAGGCCAGTTAATTTTCTATCTATTGACAAATCAAGTAGTTGCCTGAGCTCTTGTGTAAATATAGAAATGTAGGTGTCCTAATTCTTTTCTTTTTCCCCCCAGGTCAAGAAGTCGTTCGCGATCTGAGAGCTCTTCCCGCTCGCGGTCCCGTTCCCGTGGTCGATCTCCATCTCGCTCCCCTAGACGCTCCCGTAGCCCCGCCAAGGCCCACAACCGGTCTCGCTCCCGCAGCGGCTCGCCTGCCGGTGGGGCCTCCTCCCCCAAATCAAAGGAGCCCGTCAAACGCTCCTCCAAGACGAGCAAGTCCGCCACCCCTCCGTCCCCTCCACCTGCTCAGAGAGCCTCCGTGTCTCGTTCGCGCTCTCGTTCGCGGTCCCGCTCTCGCTCTCCTTCTACCGACAGCCAGCGCTAACAGCTGCGTTTAACTTATTGGGAATGAACAGTAGAAGCAGCTTGTTTCATCAGTAGAATCAGCTTTGAGGAGTTGGCACGCTGGAGCTCCCATCCTCCTGTGACCTCCACTGAAAGCTGAGACAAAAGTTCTCCCAGAGTACAGTTTGTTTTTTTTCCTGTTTGGATTTTCCTTGTGACTGTTTTTACGTTTTGTTTTTTTTTTACATCTACGCAAATACATCATCAGACAGTGATGTTTAGTCCAGTATTTTTTTTTCAGGGGGGGGGCATTTAAATACTTTCCTTCGATAACTCCCAGTTAATTCATCCTGCTAGGTTTCAGGTGCAGCAACGCAGCACCAATGTTTCTTCTCACAAAATGGCCGAGCGAAGCAGCGCCTGGATCACTGTCGCTGGGCCTGTAGGTTAATCTCTGCACTCTGAAAAACTTTGAACAGGGATTCTGTACTCGGACGATTTTGATAAATAGTGTGACCACTTTCTTTACTCTTTCTGTGATACTTTTTCTTGTCGGTGGGAGAATTTCTAGTCACTTGCCATGTTTTTGTCCTTATCGCCCACGTTTTCCAAACCTTTTCACCTTTTCTGTGTTCTACTGTACCTACCACGGCTGGTGCGTGTGTATCACTTAGGATGCTTGCATGGGCTTTTTACTGATTGAAATTTAGCATCTTATTATTGAACACATTTTATTTGTGCTTCAAACCCAAATACGAACCACCATTTTTTTTTTTTTTTTTTTTTTGTATTGGCAGCTTCTTTTATCAACAACATTTGTGGACAATAAAACACATGGTTCCACCAGCTGTACAGTCATTTTATTACATGTACGCTACATTCATGCAGTGACCGGTAAACTTTTACGTTATTGAGAGATGTAACACATTTGAAAATAAATTCAAGTTCACTATTTTGCAACGGTTTTTCCTACAGACTGCAGTTTATTCCAGCATCATAATGTTTTTTTTTTTTTGAGATTTTATTTTATTTAGGACTTTGTGTACTGATTGCAGACTTCTGTTTAAATGTAATTCCAAGAATACTTGTTGGTACTGTGACTGATGTTACTGTGGTTCAAATGAACATGTAAACAAGAGTTTGGAAAAATACATTTTTGTACTTGAGGATTTTATTTTCAGTTAAAAATATGATGGATGTTTGTATGATGTAGGAAGACAGTAGACTTAACCAATAAAACAATTTTAACTAAACCCTGATTCCATCAATCTTGTGTTCATTAGTTCTTCATAGGGACATATATTACAAATGAATGTGTAAGTTTCCTTTCTGAATATATATTAAGAGTCACAGTCTCAAGAATGACATGAAAACCAAGGGATTCACACCGTCTTCGTTTGCTTGACATAGCTCGGGTGACCTCACAGTCAACTGCTTGGTTTTCTACTGATCTGGAGTCTTTGAAACATTCTGACTTAAGTTTTGTAGTAGAAAATATATGAGCTGTGTTTGAGGCCCGTCCATCATAGAGTCCTTGCAGAAGAATCTTTGAGGCAGTCTTCAGTGGTTGCCAGCTTGTACGTCTCTGTGGGTTAGACAGACAGATGCATCACATATCTGACGTAGAAGTTTCTCCCCATCTGGTTTAGTTACTATCAAGGTTTTTAGATGATTCATCTTTCTGAACAACATACTGTTGCGGTTTTTCTATAAAGGTTTTTTTGACACTATTTGGCCAATGACACAATAATTATGTTATTGGCTAATTATACACATGTTAGCACAGGGTTAGTACAGTGGAGCAGTGGTTAGCACCGTTGCCTCGCTGCAAGAAGGTCACCGGTTTGCATCCCGAGGAGGACACCCGGGATCTTTCTGCGTGGAGTTTGCAGGTTCTCCCCGTGCAGTGTGGGTTCTCTCCAGGTTCTCCGACTTCCTCTCACATGTCCAAAAACATGTTGAGGTTAATTGGTGATTCTAAATTGTCCGTAGGTGTGAATGTGAGTGTGCTTGGTTGTCTGTCTCTAAGTGTAGCCCTGTGATAGACCCTAAGTCAGCTGGGATAGACTCCCGCCTCCCCCGCCCTCTGTAACTCTCAGTCAGACTTCTGCACCTGTTGACAGGTATTTTGATTTTGGCTCACAAAGTGCTCTCATTTGTCCAGGACAGTTTTTTTTTTTTTTTTTTTTATATATATTATTTTTTAACCACAATTCAAAAGCAATGTCTTATTTCACTAAATTAGAATTTAGCAAACTTTTATTTATTATTACTTTTTTCAGTTTCTCATTATTTTAATGACTTGTGAATTTTGCCTTTTCTTTAATGGAAGGGTATGAATAAACCAATCTAAGTGCAGGACTGACAAATGTGTGCGTATGTTGCTCAGTTATAATATGTGTCACTCCTTATTTGTGTAGTACTCTTTTCTGTCATGAGGAGTCGAGGAAAGGAATCAAGGATATACAAACTGCAAAATAAGAAGGGGGAGGAATGTCTGCTGTGACAAAGGTTTAACCGTTCACCCCTGTAGCAGCTGGCTAGTATGACGACCACTAACGTTTCAAACCCTCCATGTAGTGAAGGAACGCTAATCTTCCATTCATTTTCAAGCAGAAAATGCTCAACAGGAACTAGTTTCAGCCTCCTCCATGTGTAGATTTGTTACTTTTCTTTTTCTCATGATAACACATCGGTCATTTTCAGGGGATTTACTTACTTTGGCTTTCAGATATTTAGACTAAATTGAAAAAAAGATTATTAATGAAAAAGGTTCCAGCCCTAAGTCTTCATAACTATGTTAATTCTGTCATGTTGATATTTGGTCCACCACCACCAATAAGGTCGTGGTCATACTTCCCTCACCACCTCTTACTACTGGAGCTTCAGTCTCATGCAGGTTAATGACTTCTCTTCAATTATATTTATTAGCTCATTCTTTTTTGAAGGCTTGTTATTAACAGTTAATCATTTTGTGTAAAAATGTCGTTGATTTTGATGTTCTAGAAATCCCAACTTCTCTGAACCCAAGGCAAAAAGGACTTCTTCTATTGTACATTCTTAATGTATAGTCCCTTTAGTAACGACAAACAGAGGGAATGAGAAAATCTCTCTCTAACTACATTGTATTTAATTAGTTATCCAACCATTAAAGTCACTGGCATTGAATCATCTGATACTCAGTTGATAATTTCACTGGTAACGCAGACATAGTTGAAGTATAAACCCCTGCGTGATGAGTCCAAAGCCTGTGTTAACCTGCATCCCTTCCCGAAGTCTTACCTTTCTTTTTTCTCGTGAATCTTTGGTGACACCTGAACAGCAGGATGAGTACCAGCGCCTCCATCCCCTGAAAGAGCCCGTAGAGCAAGGGGAACAGAAACAGAGGGCCCATCACTGCTGAGGAGAAGGCTAACTTCAGGATGGTGGAGCACACCTGGATGTTCTGACAGCCTGTTTCCATAGCAACCGTCCTCCGCTCCCTGAGAGGAGACGCACTTATTCATAAGTCATGTATATACACATAGAAGAAGGCTTCTGATTCGTCCGTCCCTCATATGACTGATGCTCACAACATCCATAAGAGGTTAAATTAAACCAAAAATAAGCATGACTTACGGCTGGCTGAGTCTGAAGAGCGAAGAGATGATATAACCGGAGGAGTAGCCTATGAAGGGCATGAGAGCAGCGATGGCCATGAGTGGAGGAGACAGCACAGTCAGCATGGAACCTCCAAGTCCAACGCAGGTAATGACACTCAGCGCCACAATGGCAATGATGAATAGAACGACTCCTACCTGCAAACAACAGCACAAAAAACAAATCAGACTGGAGACTTATTTCACTTTTAAATGATTGTTCTAAACTATTATTAAGGCGTATGTTTGATGATATTCTATATTTTTCTGCCTATCAAAGAGAAATGATCAAAAACAGCGATGAATTCACTTTTATACCAACTACTGAGGTCCTTTTTCTCTGTGACAAGTCAATTTACACTGTAGTTTTCCATAAATACTCCTTAGGACTCACAGAAAAACAAACAAATCCTAACATCTGAGAAGCAGGTTTTTTAGTATTTTTGTTCGATCAATAGCTAAAATGATAACTTATCAAAATGGTTTACTTGTTGTCATTGTATTACTGTTTTGGCTGTACAGGTGTATATCTGACCTTCTGATCACCTCAGTATTTTTGCCTTTACCTTGGTGATGGTCTTAGAGTACTGCGGCCTGTAGTGGTTGATGAGGATGCCGATACCACAGGGCAGCAGGATCATGATGAGCGATTTGATGATGTCAACATAAGGCACGGCGCTCTGCAGGTTGGAGAAGCCCTGACAATAGATGTAGAGCAGGAGCGGCATCATCCCCAGAGCCAGCAGCGTGGAGCACGACGTCATCACAATGCTGCGCCAAAACACAGGGATGGACTCTTTACCGACTTTCACATCATTTAGTCCAGATAGTTGCAAGTTATTTAGGCCGACTGTACAACAGTGTGGTTTGCCACTGAGATGGGGTAACTTAGAGTTTGCAGGTAGTTTATGATCTGTGGATTCTATTGCTGACGTCTGGGCACTGTTTGTAGCATCACAGTGTTGACAGTCGTCCTGTTAAATGCACTGAGGATGTTAATGAATCTAAATGTATCCTGGTGACCACCTTGATCAGCACATTTTGTTGTGAACAAGAAGTATGCCTGTATCATGATATCTATCTTTGCTGCTGAAACATGGATAGAAAGAGAAAACCTGCAGAGAGAGTACCAAACAAAGTGGAAAAGTGTGCTGAGATTTGATGAACATAGTTCAGTAATCTTTAGATTATGTTCTTTTTAAATTAATTAATCATTTTTTGATAAACATTTAGTCAGTTTATATTAAGTTGATCAAACTGGGGCTTCTTTTTGTTTCCAGTCTGCCCCTGTTGAGAACAGCATCACTCTTTGCTGTTCAGATAAAGAAAATAGCAGAGAGAGATATAGTGGAGACGTTACATAAACACTCGGAGGCTGTAAAAACTGCAAAATTTGACTTTGTGGGAGGCTGTTCCAGAGGCGAGCAACTATATTTAGTTTTCAGTACATTTATGCTCTTTTTGCTCCTACATGAGCCTGTTTGGCTGGAGGCTCTCCATGAATATTATAAAGTTAGACTTTTTTTTTTGAAACAGTATTTTGCAACTACTTTCACATTGAGAGATGTAATGTGCAGTGAAGCCTCCAGGGGACACCAGTGGGACTTGCTAATTGCAGGAATATCTGCATCAGACCTGCCTGTCAGCTACGTGTTGCAAGGTTTATGCTCCTTATATTGTCCCATGACATAATATTCCTTTACCTCCATGTTTGAAGAACGGCAACTCTAAAATGTGACACTGATTCTGACTCCATATACATTTGCTCAGAAATATTGTGTTTTTACCTGTAAATATGAGCTGTGGTGATTTTCTAGTGTCAAAACAAAGCTAACCACCTCATCTACAGAGAACCTGGTGAGGTTATATATGTTAAAGCTGGGCTATTTTCAAGGATTTGTCCTTACTCTTTAAGGTATTTTGTAAAATGATGCAAAATTCTTGTTGCTGAAACAATCTTTTGAAGTACGGTAGTCTGTTTTATTGCCTTCGTTAATGTCTCAGGCCGTTATGTCACAACATACTTGAGAGATGAAGGTGAGATAAGACCCTCAGCATGAGATAGAGCTGGAACCATGGACGCACCTGTTTCCCTTATGAAGGAAAGATTTAGTGGAGTCAATGTCCGAGTGGTTAAAAGTAAAAGGGTTTTGGTATCTTCTATGAACAGACTGGTGATGTCCTACAGGTGATTCAACTATAACAATGTGTTCCCCCGGGAAGTAACAAGACAGGATGTGCTCCGATAGACACAATATCTGTTGTAGCTATATGACATTCAGTTCATCTCCATAATTTAGTGACAGCAGATCCCTCAGAAGCAGATATCCTAAAATCTTGGCAAAATCAACACGGCTGGACACCACTTGCAGTAGGAGGGTTATGATTTCTGTACAGTTTTACCAGCACTAAGATGATGATAACTGTGTAACAACTAGTTTATTTGCAAAGTAACTAACAGATAGGAAATAAATCAGACTTTGAAATCAGTAAGATTCTATTGTCACACACTGAGGCTCAGTGTGTTTTTTCAGGGTCACAGTGTTCCTGTAACTGCAGGGTCATGTGACAGCCAGTTCACACCTGGTCAATCAGTGCCTTCACACTCACACACCAGTATATCCACACACTGAGCTCTATGTCAGCAAAATTCTGGGTCACAGTCATTGTTGCAAATATTGTTCTATATCCTAAAAAGCTTCTATTTTTTTTGCATGCTAATATATTTAACCTACTCAAGAGCACCTCTGATGTTGTGACAGATTGTTCATCAAGTGCATTATATTAATGTGATGTTTGGTGATTTCATGTTCTTACAATGCAATGTGACTTCATAAACTTTTCCTGATCTGCTACTGTGCTAACAAGAGGCTCACCTCCAGAGTTCACTTGAACCTCAACCAACTCAGATTATAGTTTTTGGAGGATGTTTGTTGGTCAACGCAAATATGTCACGACAAACAGTTTGTGTGTACCTGAGGTTCATGTCACCCTGCAGAGCCAGAGCCAGAAAATTGGAGAGAGCCCCTCCAGGACAGCAGCCACAGATCAGAACCACTACAGCCGTTATTTCAGTCAGCTGGAACGCCTGTAAAACCCAACGAGAATAACCTCACACAGTGTACTGGCAACAACTGATACTCATAACAAGAGAAGAGAAGAGAAGAGAAGAGAAGAGAAGAGAAGAGAAGAGAAGAAAACTTTATTGATCCCTTTGGGGTAAAACCTCGGGGAAATTGTTATACTAGAAAAAAGAAAAAAAGAAAGGGTTCCTGTAATAATTCTTGTAATGCCATAATAATAGGAAATACAAAAACCATATAAAAATATCTATCAAGCACATAAAATAATAGATTAGCTACAAACAATATGTGATCATTTACAAGTCTTCTTTCCCAATCATAATCACATTAGTACTTTGGAAGCTGACAGTGTTGTTTGTGCAACCAATACTTAGCCATTTGAAGAAGATAGTGTTTTGTTGTTGTTGTTTTTGTCTCTTTAATGCCCCCGCCGTTTGAGCTGCAAAATGCACTTCTTTTTGGTTGTTTTGGATGTTTTGGTAAATCTATAAATACTTGTTTTAAGCAGCATGTAGATAGTGACATTTTTGTTTTGTTGACCAATAGCCCAACTGTTGATTTTAGAATAATATGAGATATAACAATATGATCTTTTCTAAGGGCTGCAAGGTGGAGCGGTGGTTAGCACCGTCGCCTCGCAGCAAGAAAGTCGCCGGTTCGCGTCCTGTTGAGGACACCCGGGATCTTTCTGCATGGAGTTTGCATGTTCTCCCCGTGCAGTGTGGGTTCTCTCCAGGTTCTCTGGCTTCCTTCTTAAAGACATGTTGAGGTTAATTGGTGATTCTAAATTGTCCGTAGGTGTGAATGTGAGTGAGCTTGGTTGTCTGTCTCTAAGTGTGGCCCTGTGATAGACTGGTGACCTTCACCCTAAGGCAGCTAGATGGACTCCAGCCCCCCCCTTCCCGCGACCCTAGTGAGCGGTGTATAGATAATGGATGGATGGATGGATCTTTTCTAAAATAACATAAAACATGGATAGTAGCAGATTCTCAGATTTCAGAAGTTTTTTCTTTGAGAAGTGACTTAAACTAGTTTTTGTTTTTCTGTCTGTTGTCTGATCTGCTGTTCACTTCAGCACAAATTTAAATTAGAATTAACTCTTTAAAAAAAAACTAAACACATCCAAAATAAATTGTGACAAATACACACATGATACAAACGAAAACAAAATATAAAAGCAAACATATTCATGACATTGTTTGTATCAGGTGCAGTTTCTCGACTGCAGGAGACCCTGCATGCTCCCTGCATGTTAAAATAAAGTGTTTATAATCGTTTGTATGGAGGTTTACAGTAGTACCAACCTTAGCTAAGCAAAAAGCTGTGAGAGGCATGATGCCATACTGGGCCAGCAGGGAAATGGCCACCCCCTTAGGTTTCATTATGTGATGCTGCAAAGAAAAAGTTCACAAATAAATATGATCATAAAAACAACCATCGACAGAGCACATCAAACAGACAGATTTCTATGAACAGAGTGTTGCTGAAGTCACCTTGATCTTGGACACCTCCATAGTGCATCCCACTGAAACCATGGTGAAGAATACGACGATTATTAAAATCATACTGATAGATTTGTCCATTGCTGGTGGCATAACAGCAGTGTGAACGGAGCTGGTGTTCGTCAAGTTGAACAAGAAGCTGCCATTTTGCCACAAATCTGGATCAGAAGACAGAGGTACTGTGTAGTCCTTGGTGCCTTCCATGTGGGAGCAGCAGCTGAAGTCCTGAATTATACCTGAAAATACAAACAGGAACAAGCTTAGACACAAAGTAGGACAGAGGAGAAGCAAGTGAGAGAATACATCTGCGTAGATTCTTAGTCAACGAGGTTACGACAGTCCTGAGTACTTCAGTGGACAACTGGACTTTTTAGATCTTGAAGATGCTTCTCTCTCTCTCTCTCATCGCTCAAAAAACTAACTGGTGGGGAGTACCTGGTATTTATTCTTTTTTACACCCAAATCAAATTCCTCTCATCACTCATTGACCCAAGACCCAAAAAAACATTTGTGAAACTGCAGGTGAGGAGTCTCAGGACTGCACTCTAAGTAACTGTTAAGTACCTCCTCTGTTTAGAGATGGCTGTTCTTTTTTATTTAATCCTCTGTCAAACTGTGTTTTGAATGTCACTTGTCCTTCAGATGCAGGTGGATTGCTGATTCATGTCTTGAGGAACTGCTCTCTAGCATTGACCCTTGCCCTCCCTAGCAGATGTGTGCACACCTCATATACGACACTGCTCAGCTGGTGTTTGACTGTTTTAACCTGTGAACCAGGTTTTGTTTCAGGGTGCTGCAGGGTTTGAGGTGCATCGGGATGTTGTGTTTGGAGAAAACTGTAAATTTCTCAAGCACAGCAACTGCAGATGACAATGTTGTTCCGCTTATTCTTCTAGTCTGTTTGATGTTGGGCTCTTCCTTTTTCTTTTTCTTTTTTTTTAGGTGTCATTGCTGACCTCACAAAGGCCTAGTTGGGATAGCCACAGATTGTAAGCGCTTCTTAATATGCGTGTGCTCCTTTTCTTCTCCTTTAGTCTTGGTAGGGACGGTCTCAGCCCGGTGCTGTAAGGTTCTGATAATCCCCTGCTTATGTTCCAGTGGGTGGTGGGAGTCAAACAGCAGGCATTAGTCTGTGTGTGTGTAGACTTCCTGTAGGCATCAGTGTTGCACAGCACAGTCCCAAAACGGGCACTTTATTTTCCCTGACATCCTTCCTGTGAATCCGGTGCCTTTGTCCACCAAGTTGACATGATCTGTGAAGGCTTCTACGTCTTAGGTTTTGATTCTTGAACCAGGTGTTGTCCACACATCTGAACCAGTGGCTGGGTGTTGTTCCCTTCAAAGAGCACAGTGCTTTTCACTTTCTCCAAGTTAAGATTGGCCACAATGGATGACCTGCTACATACCCCTGCTTATGTCTGCAGACACACTCATTGTGTTTCAAATATGTTTCAGGGTACCTGTCTGACTGAGGATAAACCTGGTGCAATTGTTTAACTCTGCAAAGCCCATTTTTGCTCATTGATATGAAATGAAATGACATGAAAAATACTTTATTTATCCCAGAAGGGAAATTCAATTTCAAGATATAGAGAGAAATGAGCAAAACAGTCCAGTTCCCTTGTCCTGATACTTTTTAGGAAAATGTAATTTCACATCACTAGTTTGGTGAAGAAGTTCTGCATATAGCCACACTGTCTAAGCACATCTACAGATCAATTAAGGGTTCATTTGCATTGTTGATTATATTTTTGGCCCCATAACAGCATATGTTATGAATAATGATGCCAAAACTGTTACATTTTTATGAAGACTCTTTAATAAAAGATAGGGGAAAATTTTAAAAGGGTACTTGTCGAAAATCTTCAAAGGCATTATATTTACAACAATATTTTTTTTCCTTATGTGAACATGTGAGTTGAATACTTGTCATTAATGTGTAAATGAAGAGTTGTGATGTATGTTCCTATCCATGCTGTCTGTGTTGTTTTCCTGTTCCCTGCTTCTGCAGCTGACTGCCGACAAGCAGAGCCGTTCATCAGACAAGATCTGCGATAAGAGGGAGCTTTCAGTCCATAGTACACACTACATGGTCCGTGAGTCTTTCACCTGCAGTCACATGTGCTGCATAGTGTCAGAGTCTGAAACTCATTCATAGAGCTTGTTTTGTGCCATCAGTTAAGGCATTTGGATGAAGTTTTTTTTTCTTTTTTCCCTTCTTTAATGGGAGGGTATGAATACATTTGAGGACGACTGTATGTCTTATATCTAACACTGTTTTTGTGGCGCATACACACAGGACTATAAACTGCACACATTGTGTTATGAACTCATCTTTTCAGTGCACTTGCTCCTCATCTTGATGAATACAAGACTAGCTAAAACCACTCTACAAATGTAAGGCTTACAACATGAAAGCATTTACATAAATCAGATTAAAATGGCCAGGCAGAACTACTGCAAGTTTTAATCAATTTCACTAACAAGGCTACGGCGTTGAAGTCATATGGGTTGTTTCCCAAAAAAAAGGAACAAATGTTAATCAGTTCACTTACTTATGTTATTTTTCTTTTCTTTCTTTTTTTCCCTTCTTATTTTATGATTTCAGGGCATGTACGGGGAATCCTTGGCTTTATATTTAACCTAAAACTAGGAGACATGAGGTGCTAATAATAATGTAAACAAACCAAATTTCTGTTTTAAAAGCCACTTAAATCTGGTTAATCTGTAAATTGCTGAGAAACAAAAACATTTGCTTCCTTCATGCTCTGTGGTGCTTCAGTGCCAAGTCAACACCCATCTCCATAGTTGACAACCACATCCTCCCTACTGGCATGCTCACATGCTGAGTGCAGACAAATTACTTTCACAGGATTTCACATGTCTATTTTCCACTCAGAAAAAGAAGCACATGTATGAACACTACAGCATGGCGGAGCTCCAGAACAGACTGACTTCTTGGCTGAGCTGAAGGTGAGAATTGCACACCTATCATTAGGTCACTTTGTGCAGAGAGAAAGAAAACTCTCAGGTGGATTCCCCAGAAACAAACACTTATCACTG